TGGATAACCAGGCAAGCTGTGTGCGATTTCTCGTGAGCAGGTGGTAGTCAGTGGGCTTTGTATTTGATAATGTATAAGAATCTTCTCACCCTCAAATTCCCTGTTAGAATATCCACACCAGGGCTACTATTTTTTGCAGACCAAAACTGTCCTTGGCTGATGAAAGGAAAGAAGAAATGAATGAGAAGAAAGAGGAAGAAGCAGCTGCTGTAAAAAGAAAGAACACTTCAGAGGCTTTATAAAAAACTGCAGAATTTAGAAAAGTTACTTTGTCTTTCCCGTTATCCTGAGTCACTGACCACTCGAGCCATGCTGGAGAAAGCTGAGGATGTGAGACCTACGAGCCGGGAAGTACGTGGGAAGAACCCGTGAGCACCAGTCCAGCCTCACGCTGCTGACAGGCTCCTTACCTGTTCCCATCTACTCTGATGCATGGTCTCAGACTCAAAGAAATACGTGTGCTTCAGGAAGAAAGAGGTGTTGGCAATTTTTTCTTTTTCTATACAAATCATGTGTAACTCTCTCTTTCCAATTTCTCCAGGGGAACACAATAAAACCCCACAAAGAAATATTAAGTAGAATACCAGCAGTCCTATAGGTACAAGAGCCCCACCTCAGGCTGTTACATGCCCGGGAGACAAAGGGTTAATTTCATTCTTTATCCACCTTTGCTATGGCCTAAGAGGCATGAGAAACACACTAAAAATACCCAGAAAGTGAAATTCTGTCTCAGGTCTTAGGCCTCTGCTTGCTTTTGCCCTCTGTACTCTCAATTTCCCTGGTTTTCAATCATGATTTCTCTTATGCCTAAATTTGTTCACCTCAGTCCCTGCATCTCTTCTCTCCTTCCCTTCATTTGTGCCACCCAAGCCTACCACCCAAGGGTTGACGACCCTTGCTCTGAACCTGCAGATGAGGCACCCTGAGGCCAATGTCCGATCCTGCCTGTTATGCAACCACATCATAAGCACTGCCAGTGAGCAAGGACATGACCCCAGTGCAAACCCGGCCATTCCCATGCCCTGTCTGTTGCACAAGGTAGGAAGTGCTCCACTCAACTCACCTCAAACTGCAGAGAAAATTTATAGTCAGAGTCTTTGGCCATGTCCTTGATGTAGGCATCAAAGTCATCCAGTTGAACCGGGCTTTGTCAAACAACACAAAGAAATGTATGTTTTAAAAATCCCGTTGATAGGCATTTACATATTGTTTAACTCATACTTCTCAAACATGGACAATTTGCTTAAGGAAAATGGAAATTCTACCTCTCAAAAGTTAGCGTTCACCTTTTGTTTTTTGGTTAAAGTCACCAGCCCCTGTTATATTGTGATTAAAAAGAGGGGCATCTATATCAAACTTTCTTGAGATACGAGAAATTTTTAGATTTCTCCTTGGCTCTTACTCTGGCCGTATAATATTACATACGAGTACATGTGTACTCACGTATACATGCGTATGTGTTTTTTCTAGAAAACTCTGGCATTTGGGAAAGATCAAAGGATTAGATTCCGAAGACCTGTTGGAGTTACAGTTTTAATTTGCTGACTGTGTGATCCTGGAGAATCACTTAATTCTCCAGAAATTCAACGTTCTCATCTATAGAACTTTATAGTTATACCTACCTCACCAGGTTGACGTTCAGTACATACAGTTATAAAGAACCTTGTCAGTTTCAACAGCTTTACAAGTATAAGGAATCGTGTGCTAGCTAGTCTCCCCAGGGCAGAGGCAGGGTCAGTAGGATGAAGAGAGAGCTCTCGGGGTCTCCCCTGAGACAGCCATGACTGGAGGTTTGCATGTCTATAAAAGTATTGACTGGCTCAGAGGTACAATCGAGTAACACATCTGAGCTTATGGTTCCACATCTGTAGCAGTGCTCACCTCCACCTCTCTCTCTCTGTCTTTTTTTTTTTTTGTGGTGTATAAGAACTAAATTTATTTCTTGTAGTTTTCTGTAGCTGCTTATCTCTTCTAGAGCCTACCTATGCAAACTTGCCCCCTAAAGCTGCTCTCTGCTTTGGAAGACCACACTCTGTCATCTACCCCAACCAAGCCTTTCCTTCTTGGTGGGGCCCATATAACTGACTTTCCCTTAGTCTTATGGCAGGTCGCTTATATCATCTCCCTGTGGTCTTATGTCCTATTAGCAAATACAGAATATTTAATAGATATTT